TGGAAAAAATAAGAATTAAAAATAAATTAGTTCTACGTGACATTTTAACTGTGAGTGTCATAATACTGTTTGGTTTTACTGCAATAATATACACAGATTTTTATTCAGCGATGTCTCACGTGTAAAACAGTACCCCCTATGTACAGTATTTATGGTGTTTTGGGAAGTTACAGGGTCAAATATAGCATGTTAAATTTTTTAGTTTTTTCACATTGAAATTCACCAGATTGGTTACGTTGTCTTTGAGACCGTATGGTAGCCAGGAATAAGAATTACCCCAATGATGGCATACCATTTGCAAAAGTAGACAACCCAAGGTATTGCAAATGGGGTATGTCCAGTCTTTTTTAGTAACCACTTGGTCACAAATACTGGCCAAAGTTAGTGTTAATATTTGTTTGTGTGTGAAAAATGCAAAAAACTAATTTGAACGCCAATTTTGGCCAGTGTCTGTGACTAAGTGGCTACTAAAAAAGACTGAACATACCCCATTTGCAATACCTTGGGTTGTCTACTATTGCAAATGTTATGCCATCATGGGGGTAATTTTAATTCTTGGGCTACCGTACGGTCTCAAAGGCAACATAACCAACCTGGCGAATTTCAATGTGAAAAAAACTGAAACGCAAGCCTTATATTTAACTCTGTAACTTTTGATAACCCCATAAAACCTGTACATGAGGGATACTATTGTACTTGGGAGACTTTGCTGAACACAAATATTAGTGTTTCAAAATAGTAAAAAGTATCACAACAATTATATCGTCCGTGTAAGTGCCATTTGTGTGTGAAAAATGCAAAAAATTTCACTTTCACTGATGATATCATCGTTGTAATTCATTTTACTGTTTTGAAACACTAATATTTGTGTTCAGCGAAGTCTTCTGAGTAAAACAGTACTCCCCATGTACAGGTTTTATGGTGTCTTGGAAAGTTACAGGGTTAAATATAGTGCTAGCAACTTAAATTCCCTGGACTTTCAGCCTGGTTGTCAGGCAGGTCCCGCAAATTGTAATTAATAAAATGACCTAATTATGTAAAATTATTACATAAATAGATACATAGAATTATTATATATATATATATATATATATATATATATATATATATATATATATATATACGTGTGTGTGTATATATATATATATATATATTTATATATATATATATATGTGTATATATATGTATATAATTTTTTTTATATATTTTTATTTATATATAGGTATATATATATAGTGATATATATGTATATACTTATGTATATAGATATATATCTATTTTCGTTCTACGTGTATTTTGATATCTATATATATATTAATTTTAAAATACAGTTAGAACAAAATTACACATATATATTTTTTTATTTATTTATTTGTTATAATTTTTTTCAATTCTATTTTTTAACGTATTTACATATTTATTTATTTTATATTATATATAAATATACAATGAAAATTATATATATATTCAATATCATTGTACGTGTACTTTAAAATACACTTAAACAGTGTATGTATATTTATGTGTATGTATGTATATATATATATACTTAGATCATACATATAAGAAATATATATATATGATCTAAGTATATTTAATTTAATTGTCAACTGGTTTAAACTGTTTTAATTTTTTTTACAGACAGCACGGGGAGTACCTGTCAAGGACCTCATGATCACATGGCCCAGGGGGGCCGAAGAGGAGGAGGGGGACTCTCTGAGCTCCCAGATAAGTCCCCATACCACGAATGACAGCGTGGGATCGCCGGCGACCAGGTAAGTAGAAAGGACGGTTTGGGCGTTCTATGCCGCCCTCCGGCATTTAGAGCCAGTTCCCTAAGGATTGCATAGAACGCCCGCTGTCCTTAAGGGGTTAAACAAGTTCCTGCATTAACTATGTTTTGCCACTAGTGGCCTCCCTAACCACTAGAGAAACCTCAATCGCTGTCACCTGCATAGCATGATAATCCAAATCTGCTATAACAGGCCACACCTGACAAAACCAACTTCCCTTTACATTGAGAGAGGTTATTGTACTGAACCTAACAACCTTCTGCTCCTGACTCTTACTAAAGAAAACCTGCTCTACTCTTACTTACTTTGAACCATCCTGATTTATTCCAACATGATCTCCAAAACGAACCAACTTTATTTCTATACTGGATTTTGTTTTCTTATTGATTTTGTTCAAACCTCCCTGGATATTACAGACTTTCCTATTATTGCAAGTATCCTAGAAGACCCAGAAACTGCAGTTCTGATTTCCAACCAAAGAGGCTGATCACTTCAATTGGTACCTTAACCTGTTTTCATTTATCCTTTATGTTCCTGTTTAGTTTTATCTAATTTCATCCCTATTACCTGATATCCTGTTTGGGGCTTATTGCCTAAACTCTTGTTTTCTGTTATTCCTGTATTCATATGGTCTACTTTCTCCATTTCTCTATATTTATTATTCCATTCTTCCTCTTGCTTTTCTTCTCTTATTATTTCTTGTGAAACCATCTCTAATAATTCCAATAAAGTACCTGAAGTCAACCCCGGCATAAATCTTATTTTTGACCTGCTCAGAATCATGACAGGTGGGATACATTAGTCAGGAAATGAACAGTCAGTTCTTGAATTTCATATGTTGGCAGGAAATGTTGGCAAGCAAAAAGATCTGAGTGGCTTTGACAAAGGACACATAGTGATGGCTAGATGACTGGGTCAGACCATCTCCAAAACAACAAGTCTTGTTGGGTATTTCTGGTATGCAGTGGTTAGTACCTACCAAAGTGGTGCAAGGAAGATCAACTGGTGAACCAGCAAGGGTCATGAGTGTCCAAGGATCATTGATGCATGTGGGAAGCTAAAACTAGCCAATCTAGTCCGTTTGCACAGAAGAGCTACTATAGTTAAAATTGCTGAAAAACGTAATGATGGTTGTGATAAAAACGTGTCAGTACACAAACTGCATTGCAGTTTGCTGTGCATGGGGCTGCATACCAAAGTCAGCATGCCAACATTAACCTCTGGATACTGCCGAAAGCACATCAATAGGGACACGAGCGTCAAAACAGGATCACGGAGAAACTATTTTTATTTCCTTGGAGGGGAAAATACCACCTATACTGTATGGGATTGAGCAAATCCTGGCTTGCTCTCCCTATGTGAGTATACCCATGCCCGGACTGGCCATCGGGCACACCGGGCAAATGCCCGGTGGGCCGCGATGGCCGTGGGGCCGAGGCCGGCAGGGGATCTCCCCGGCCGGCCCCTGCAGGGTGAGCGCTACCTGAGCGCCGGCCCCGCTATGTGCCTCCATGGGCCGGTGGGGAGATCAAAGATCTCCCTCACCAGCCCACAGGCAGGGAGATGCGGCCGCCGGCTGGGTGAGGGAGGGAGGGAGGCAGGAGAGAGGACCCGGCGGAGCTCTAACAAGCAGCTCCGCCGGGTCCTCTCGCGAGATTCTGAGCGTTGCCGCGGCAACGCTCAGATCTCACGAGAGTGAACTCTAACCTACAGGTTAGAGTTCACTCTCACCACTGGACCACCAGGGAAGGCAGCATGGCTCCCCCTCCCAGGCAGAACGGCTCCCTCCCCCCCTCCCAGACTAAAGGTAAGAAGGGGGGGGGGGAGACATAACTTTAAAAAAAAAATTATTAATAAAAAAATATATATATATTTAAAATTAATTCCCAAACAGCACCCCCAGACACACACAGCCCCCTCACACACAGCACCCCCAGACACACACACACAGCACCCCCAGACACACACTGCACCCCAGACACACACAGCACCCTCAGACACACACACACACAGCACCCCAGACACACACTGCACCCCAGACACACACAGCACCCCACACACAGCACCCCCAGACACACACACACACACCCCAGACACACACTGCACCCCAGACACACACACACAGCACCCCAGACACACACTGCACCCTAGCACACACTGCACCCTAGACACACACACTGCACCCCAGACACACACACTGCACCCCCAGGACACACACACACAGCACCCCCAGACACACACTGCACCCCAGACACACACTGCACCCCAGACACACACAGCACCCCAGACACACACACACAGCACCCCAGACACACACTGCACCCCAGACACACACAGCCCCCTCACACACAGCACCCCCAGACACACACACAGCACCCCCAGACACACACACACAGCACCCCAGACACACACTGCACCACAGACACACACAGCACCCCCACACACACACACACAGCACCCCAGACACACACTGCACCCCAGACACACACAGCACCCCCAGACACACACACACAGCACCCCAGACACACACTGCACCCCAGACACACACTGCACCCCGACACACACTGCACCCAGACACACACACAGTACCCCCAGACACACAGAGCACCCCCAGACACACAGAGCACCCCTAGACACACAGCACCCAGACTCACACAGCACCCCAGACACACACTGCACCCAGACACACACTGCACCCAGACACACACACAGCACCCCCAGGCACACAGAGCACCCCCAGACTCACACAGCACCCCAGACTCACACAGCACCCCAGACACATACAGCACCCCAGACACACACAGCACCCCAGACACACACAGCACCCCAGACACACACACAGAACCCCCCAGACACACACAGCACCCCCAGACACAGCCCCCAGACACCGCACCACCCAGACACACACTGCACCCAGACACACACTGCACCCCCAGACACACACAGCACACAGAATGTGACAGCAGATAAAAACACCCTCACACACAGCACCCCTCTTACATACACACACTGCGCCCCTCACACATACAATAAGTCCAAATATATATATATATACATACACACACACACACACACACACTACAGCACCCCTCACACTGCACCACTACACACATTACTGTCCAGATACACACTAGATCCCTTATCCTATATGCACTCTTAATCCTCTACACACACACACACACACACACACACACAAACTGGGTCATTTGCACAGTAGATCTCCTACACACACACACTACATTCCTTGTCAGCAAACACATACAACATTCTCTAAACACACTCTCTCTGCAATCCCTACACACACTACGTCACCTATACACACACACTCGCTGCATCCCCTATAAAACTATGCCCCCTATACACACACTCTCTACAGCCCCTAGCCACACATATTACACCACAAACACAAATTATATTGACCTATTTATACAATACCACACCACACTCTACACACACGCAATCCCACAAGCAGGCTCCAAACATATGCACCATGCACTTTCATGGCCCTTTTGTCCTCTGGTATCCCACTTGTGGAGACACCAGAGACAATTTAAAAGCAAACACAGCGCAAGCATGTTATTAAATTTGCTTGCGCTGCGCAGAACAAATTCGGGGCCTTTTTCTAATGCCAGAGCTCTTCAGCGGGGCTCTGGGCATTGAACCAACATGCTCACTTTGAGAGGGGGCGTGCTTGTCATTAGTGATGACAAAACACATACTCTCTGGCCCCGCCCCCTTCTTAGGGGGCCGCTCTGATTGAAAAATGCCCGGGCCTAATTTTTTTCCCAGTCCGGCCCTGCTTTTAAATATCCCCCTCTTCTTATCTCCGTTCGTTCCGCCTATCAATTGTGCTGGGATCATCTGTTTCCCATTCTTCTATCAGTCCATGCCCTGATTTGGACTTCCGTTCCTCTTCGTGGAACGCATATGCGTTAAACCTCTCGGCGGCTCAAGAGGACGTCATCCGTCTGCGCGTGGAATGCATATGCGTTCCATTTCACCAGTTCCATCGATCAGGAACAATACAGGGGTCAAATACAACAAGGCATACGAGATTAAATTCAGCAAGGTTCACTGAGTGAAAGTTGTATTTATAACAACAAGCCTAATATCAAGAAGTATCAGAAGAACACAAAACACAATATGTATACATAGATGTCATCTTAAGTTAGCTCCTCCAAAGGGGGTGATTCTGAAAAATACAAACCTATAATATAAATATGCTAATGGTATGAAATAAAATAAAATAAAATAAGAATAAAAATAAAGATAAAAACTAATAATAATAAATATAAATACAAAATAAACATGAAATAAAAATAAAATTAAAATAATGAAAGTGAAAATAAAAATAAAAGCAAAAATAAAAATAAATATAGAAATAAAAATAAAAATAAAAAATAAAATAAAAATAAAAATCTCAATTAAACAGAACTTGCAATAAAGAAAGCCTAAATAGGGCTCTCTTTACAGGAAGTGTTTATGGAAGGCTGTGCAAGTCACATGCAGGGAGGTGTGACTAGGGTTCATAAACAAAGGGATTTAACTCCTAAAATGGCAGAGGATTGAGCAGTGAGGCTGCAGGGGCATGTTCTATACACCAAAACTGCTTCATTAAGCTAAAGTTGTTCAGGTGACTATAGTGTCCCTTTAAGTTTGTCTGCAAAGTAATCTATACAATAAAATGCTGTGCTATATGTTTATATCTTAGCTATGCATCCTTTGCTTCAAATAAATCTTATAGTAATATTTTTTTAAGCAAAAAGTACTTTGTAGTGAAGGGGTTAAGGCAGTGGTTCCCAAACTTTTTAGGTTCAAGTTAATATTTCAATATTTTTCCAAGGCACCCCAAGTCAAAATTTCTAGGTTGTAGGTCCGCAATATGGAACGCAAAAGTGCGACCATAGATGTTATATAACCTGATATGAATTTTTCACTTCGAGGCCTGACACGCAATCAGTGCGTACAGCAGTATTTGCATGAAGCCACCACCCTCCTGTTAGCTTACCTTATGTGTCCAGGAGGGTGGTTTGGAGTCCTGCTGCTGCTGGTGGGAGTGAGGGGTCTGGAGGTCTTCGTGCTCCTCTCCCCTCATGCTGCAACTGCCTCCTCTCGCTCCTGCGCTGTCTCCCTGCATGATGCTGGGAGGAAGTGACAGGCTGACAGGGGCCTGGTCGCAATCTTAAAAGGACCGCAGAACCCGACCGGGACCCTGTTCAGCAGTAATGTTTCCCCAGTGCTATAATCATAGCACCAGGGAAACACTCCGTAGCACCCCTATGTGCCTGTTGCTGCGCCCCAGGGCACTGCAGCACACAGTTTGGGAACCGCTGGATTAAGGCAGAAGGACAAATAACCTGATATTGGAAACAGGCAAAATACAGTCATGGGAAAAAGAAAGTACAAAAAGAAAGTACACCCTCTTTAAATTCTATGGTTTTACAGATCAGGACATAATAACATAATCTGTTCCTTAGCAGGTCTTACAATTACAACCACAGATGAACAACAACACATGACATATTGATACCGGAGAAACTGACGGAAGCAAAGCACAGAGGGATGGACACAGGTTTCTTCAGGAAGGAAGAGATTCTTTATTGGATCACCGATCGGGACTCAGAGGGACTAATGTCACCAAAAATACAGCAAGTTCTGAGCTCTGAACAATAGTGCAGGCTCCCTATATAGGCACATAACTCCTCCCATTAATAGCTACACCCACATATACCTTTAACCATTCAATGAGCAGAATATAGACTTGTACATCTAGTCAAACCACATGGCCCATCCAAGACAAAGGAAATAAGTGCAATTTCAGTTCCTGCATTCCTGCACATGCTCAGTACACTGATGACAGTATCCTAGATACATGTAGCTAACCAACTGACACAACATACACATATGCCACATGGAGATTTTGGCCTACTAAATTTTAACCATGCTGGAATCCCATCACATTCCCCCCTTTGATGCCTCTTGATATTTTACAATTACTTGAGGCATCACTTAACCTTGGTTTGCATACACCACAAGTTACCTTTGAACCAGACCAGACTTATCCTATGATGTGAATCTTCAACACTCGTCTTCCTGCATTGGTTCTCCCTGATCTAGAGCCTTATATTTATAAATTGCCATTATCTGTGCAGCAGCCTTCCTCTCTGCTATATTTTCTATCAGGCTTTGCACAGACCTAACTACTAAGGGTATAAGACACGGCAGGAGTAGACACAACATTAAAATCAGTAGGACTCCACCTACCACTGCCTTAAGCCCTCCAAACCACTCATACCAGCTACCAAACCAACTACTTGGATTGTACCCTTTCCATACCTGAGTAGGCACATGCGCTAGTTTAACCATATGGCTAGTAAGCTCAGCTATTGCTTGCCCTTCGTCATCTATTTGAAGACAGCAATTGCTCAGGTTAAACTTCCCACATACACCTCCCTCTACTGCCAAAAGATAATCCAAGGCTAATCTATTTTGGTAAACTGCTGTCCTCATCCTGGTATTATGCTTCGCTAGAAGATTGAGCGCTTGTGATGTCTCGTTAGTAATGATCTCAACCACCGCCTGTAACCTTATAATGCGGTTGAGCATATAAATAGGGGTTCTATAACCAAAGGTACCATCCTCTGCCCACGTGGCTGGCCCATAATAATCTATAATACGCTGGGGAGGCCATTCATTATCTTCCCAGGCACCTATCTCTATGGGTCCCCTTTTCTTCCTATGATTCACATCATACACTTTAACACCTAAAGTCTCACCTGTTTCAATAGGCAACAAGAAGAAGGATGGTTTTAACATACCCAACACACATGCCCCTTCCCAGTCCTGTGGTAACTCCGAATAGGCCTTCTTACCACAGATCCAGTACAAATTCGCTGGGGCTCTCCAGTTAGATGTGATGGATAGATCAAACCATACGTCCTTTAAATTGGCATATCTTGCAAACGGGTTAGATGGTTCTGAGACATTTGAAGCCGACCACCAAGTTGTATTCTTTGTATCATCATCATAAGCTTTTTGCCCTAGACAAGTTAATTCTCCTACAGAAGTATTATACATCATTCCTTTCCTCGCTATGCAAACATAACCTATGATGGAGGTCTTCAATCTCCACTCAGATTTACCTCTAACACTCATATGATAGTCGGCTTGTGTAGATATTAATTGGTCAACTGCCTCAGAACCGGACATTACCTCCTTTGCTTCCCAAGGCCATTGGTCTCCCATGTTAGTACCTCCACACACATAGCAGTTGGTAACATTAAGACTACCGGCAATACTCTCGGCTAAATCAATGAACAAGTTTTTAGCATTATGGGGGATCTTATTATCTATGCTCATCTCTTCATAAAAGGAATGGTATACTTGATGAGTTTGGGAGGTTACCGTATCAGTCTCTATCCCTATAAACAATATTGTCCCAGGGTCTAAACCCGTCCCATATATTTGAAACCCAAATAAATTACCATATTTATCTAAGAACTTGTCAGGGTTATTTATAAGTATATGGATTGGATTGCATTCCATAGACTTACAATATGGATTAGTAGGCAACTTAGTCACAATCATGTCCTTGTCTGCTGTCTGTCCCCAAGTCGCCCACCCCACACAAGACCAATATGGGCAGAAGTTATAATCTCTATTTGGGCATCTTGGACTTACATATTTATTTTTACTACTGGGACAAATATATTTATCGTTAGACCCATACGTCCTCTCCCATCTAAGATCCCCACATACATTCCACGGCTTTCTACCACTTGATATTGCTTTACACGCATCAAATAGCAGAGCACCTGAAGAATATACGGATTTTAATACCGTCTTATTAATTAGGGTCCCCTGAGAATCTCCATTTCTGAGAGTCAACCAAATTGTACGGGGTTGATACTCAGGACTGAAGCACTTAGGTTCTCCTACTCCTAAATGACACACACTATATTCTATATTTAAGTATCTACATCTTGATACATCTCCTTTACACTCATATTGCGAATGCCAAATTAGGGTCTGGGATATATGGTTACCTGTTCTTGTAGTCTTAATGCATACCTCACAGCTAGGAGTGTTGGTACCTCTACCTTCCTGAATATAAAAATACACATAAATAAACATTATTAAAAATACATCTTTCGTCGTCATCCTCAGTCTTCGTCCGTGTGAAGGCACCTCAGCTTCCAGGATGTAAGGACTGCAGGGAATGGAGTTCTGCTCGTCTTCACAGGGGTCCCCTCAAGACTTTCCCTGACTTATACACTCGTTGGTGAGTGGACAGGCTTTATTATGGCCTTCTCACTCACTTACCAAGTCTCTGAAACAATAAAATTTGTAATCTACAAGGTTCCTCGTCACTCCGACTGAGTCGTGCGTTTTAACCGGATCTTGCAGGGATTCTCTGGATTTGCTGTAACTTGCCAGGAATCGG